AGGAAGTAGCTCGCTCGGGGAAGTTAGGAGCACTGCAGGAGGTAAGATTTTATCTCTGAGCTCTGACCTCTCGGCTTTCTCTTTTACATTGGCTCTGTGTTTCTTATTTTAAAAAGACGATTGGTTACATCTACACATCTACACAGTTTCTTTTCTGCTTTCTTACTTAGCTCCTCTCGGTCCCTCCTGCTCTCAGTCCCTTCTGCTGTTCTCTCATCATTCTACCTGGTTCTTTCCATCTCCGTCCTCATCTTTGTTCTTCTCCATCAATCCTATTCTACCAGTGCTCTCCGAGAAGCAGCATATATACCCACACAGTAATTCTTTGGTAAAGCAACGCGAGGCTTGAAGTTTTCAGGGTCTCAGAGAGGTGATAAGGACCCACACATAAAGCAATTAATTGTCAGCTTCCAATTACAACCCAAAAGGGGAGTGACTAAAGGGGAGTTCTCTGGTAGGGTCAACTAAAGGCTAAGACCAATTAGGGAATTTATGTGCTCAAACAATAATCTAGAAATGGCTAGATAAAATGTTAGGGGTCAGTAAGTCACAAGAAAGTCAACTGTCTTTAGCACCACGTTTCCTGCTCATCCCAGCTGCAGCTGCTTTCTGATAGGGAGGGGGACATATGCTAGGTGGCTAAGCAACCTGTGTCAGAGCATGTAGTGTTTGGTTAGTAAAAGCACTTTCACTCCGAGTAATTGCTGAGGAGAAAATCTAGGAATAGCACCTGGCTGAGGAGGAATAAAAACTTAATTTGCACAAGAAAGAAGCGTGGCACCTATTGCCTAGGCAATCTCCTTGGGTCAGTGGGAAGTAACTGCCTTAACTCAGTATCTAGCAAATGGCTACAACTTCATCCCAGGAATGGGAGCAGTAAATCTCTTAAGTTAGGGTCTTGTGTAAATAACCCAGGATGAAGGTAAGGAGTTGAGGATTTGTTAGTGGTTCTTTTCTCTATCTGTGAGTGAGATGAGCTAATGTTTATCTATGTGCAGTTTTGTCCTTGGAAAAAGGTATCTTTGCTGAAATACTTTTGTCCAGAGAATGGCCCTAGCCAGATATATGTTAATGAAAGGTAAACACAGCTGGGGCAGTTGTCCAATTACCCCAAATGTATAGGGAAAGCTGTGCCCAAGATTGAGATGCAATCGTGAGGTTACATGTACACTAACATGGAAATGCACGGTAAATGGGGAGAATCATAGCTGTTATTGCACAAGAAGTTTACAACAAGAGACAGCCAGTTCATTCAAAAGGCAGTAATCCCATAACACCTTGTGTGATGATTTCCTCTAACAGAACCCTTAGTTCTGATAGGTTGACCTTCTGAACACTAGTTGTCACTGCTGTATACTTTCATGGACTTTCACTACCAGCGGCTCTCAATAGACATGTGTTCCCAAATGCTCACTGCCATACCTTTACTACAGTAGGGCTGGCCACGCTTCTCTATCACGAATCACTGTAATTGTAGTTTTGTTTTATAAAGTGGTACTTTGGAGTCATATAAACATCCTATTCTTTACCAAACTCTTAATGTATTCATTCATTTATAGCCGTTTATTGTGATTCCTGTTTCCCCGTTTTATTCACCGGGTTTTAACCCACCACAGTTGTTACTATTATTCCCGTGTTCAAACTGCCCCTGATTTGGCCAGTGGCTGCTCTCACTCAGGCCCGCTTTGCATCTCCTTGCTCTTTGAAACGTCTCCAATTTTTTTTTTTTTTTTGAGTTCCTGCTTTCTGACGAATTATCTGCCAGATGCCCAGCCTTTCATTTCTTCATAGAAAACGAATCTGGACATTAAAAGCTGTTCCTAGACTTACTGCTGCAGGGGTCTTGCCTCTGCCAGGACTGATCAGTGTAGAGAATTAGAAATGGATGTGTAAACACAATACTGTGTTGTGTGTGTCTACACACGACATCTATGTTAGAAACAATCTCAGCATCACGCAGAAGGAAATTATGAACAAGGTGAAAGTAGCCAGCGAGATAAATTCTTTTTATAAAAAGGGTGTCCAAGATCCAAACCTGGCGAGCAAGCCCACAGCCACAAGAAGTTCACTCATTTTTTATTCTAGCGCAGGTGGTGATTGTGTCTTTTCCTCATTGGCTGGGGTCCGACTTCAGTCTTCTGCAATTGGCTAGTTTTAAAAGGAAATAAAGGAGAGTGGGAAGGGGTGGGCCATTAAAGTCACTTAAATTCCAAGGATACAGCAGGGCCTTTGTGGAAAGGAAAGTCCAACTGGGTCAGGGGGATGTAAACACTTCCATAAAGATTCACCTTTATGTGGGGGAGATCAAACAATTTGAATTCCTTGTCATAAACTAAGGTTTATAGTGTTTGCCCGACAAGGCTAACATTTAATGTTTCTCACACATACGTGACATGGGTCTGTGCCAGCACACCCAAACCTGGGTGGCGCGCGTCTTCAGTTTGCAGCCCCTTCTCTGACAGTGAGGATGGATGTTGGCGTCCACAGTCATTGAGGTGTTTGTATAGATAATGGGCTTCCAGGACCTAACTCATCCTTTTTCTCTAGTCCAAGCTCTGCCACCAACAAAGATGCCCTCCCCTGCCTGTGTGGGCTCGGCCTCCTCCCTCGGGGGCTGACTCTCCTGCATGCATGTCCTTAGTCTTTTGGGCTCTGGCTCCCTGTACCAACCAGGCTTTGTACCTGTAGCAATGCCCACCTTACCTGCTGAGGGCTGACATAGCATTCTAGACAGTAGAAAGAGCACCAGGCCAGGAAATACAGCCCAGACCATGCACTCTGGCACTGACGGGGGGCTTTGAGAAAGCCATTTAAGCTGAAGCCCCACCATCTCCCACCTGCTCACTCACCGCTATTTCCATGTCTTCTGTGGCTTTTCTTCAGTCTCAACTGTGGTGATATTTTATTTGTGCTTTTATAAAGCTTGCCTGGAGATTAGGGAAATAGGGAAAGCCACGAGCCAACCTCACCTCACCAACTCGGCAGCTTCCAAATGCAAGCTACTTCCTGTCTTACCTACACCTTTATTGCCTTGCTGTTCTGCCCTCTCATTGGCTATCTCAGCCCAGCTACCTCACTTCTTTGTCACTGTCTGTCTGTGCAGACCTCCAGGTCTCTACGATTGGTACTGGGATTAAAGGCATGTGTCACCCCATCTTGGCTCTGTTCCCTAGTATGGCCTTGAACACACAGAGACCCCACCTGATAAGTGATCGAATTAAGGGCAAGTGCTGCCTGACTTCTTGTTTACTTAAAATGGCTGGCCTTTTCCCCTGATCTCCAGGCAAGCTTTATTAAATCATAAATAAAATATCACCACATTTCAGTACAAATAAAATATCACCACATTTCCCCCCTTTTTTTGGTCTAATAAAAATAAAAAAAACAGTTATAACTAATAAAACTGTTTGACCTATGGCAAGGCAGCTTAGAGGCAGGTGGAAAATCCAAACAGATAGACAGGAAGAGAAAGGAGAACAGAGGAGATGCTGCTAGCTGCTGCCAGGAGAAGGAAGATGTAAAATACCTGAAAGCCACAAGCCACATGGCAAAGTATAGAGTTATAGAAATGGGTTAATTTAAGATGTAAGAGCCAGCTAGTGAGAAGCCTGAGCCATTAGGCCATATCATTTGTAAATA